TGCGCCAACACCAAACACCTTAACTTCATTGGCATTGCCCATTTTTAACACTCCAGAATCAACATTAGTATAAGATGAGAGAAAATATTTTCTTGGTGTGACATGTGAGGTAACTCCAGAATCTACTATCCAGCTCGTCTCATGGGATACCAAATTGATGACGTTTTCATCATAAGCAAAAAGAAGGTCATCTCGAACAATAGCAACAACATTGTTCTCATTATTTTCAGCTTTCTTTCCTTCTCTAGTGTCTTGATTCAACTTGCGGCAAAACCTTTTGATGTGTCCTTTCTTGCCACAGTGGTTGCATGTAATATTATAGTATTTGGACCTTGACTTACTTCTACTTTTACCTCTATTCCTTGAGCCTCTTGTTCTATCTCTCCCCCGATCTTCTGTAACCAAGATATCTGCTTGTGAGGACGAACCCTGAGATTTTCTCCTTACTTCCTCGTTCAACACTCCACTCTTGGCATATTCCATGGTCACCTTACCTCCAGGATCTGAATTTGTCAAAGAAATACGAAGAGTTTCCCAAGAGTATGACAGAGTATTAAGAAGCCAAAGTCTTTGTATCTCATCATCAAAATTAACTCCCATTCCAGATAGCTGATCAAGGACGCCCTGAAAATCATTTATGTGATCAAGGATAGGGTTGCCTTCCTTATATTTAAAGGTCATCAATTGCTTTAGCAGAAATAATTTGTTGTTCCCGGTTTTTCATGCATAAAGAGTCTCTAGCTTTTTCCACAATGATCTCGCATGTGTCTCATTCACAATATGATTGCGAACATTATCTTCAACCCATTGTCATATATTTTCACATACTTGTTGGTGCTCGAAATCCCAATTTTCATCAGATATACTCTCGGGTTTATAAGCTAAAAAATGGGTAGATGCATCTTCTTCACGAATAACAAATCTTTCATCTTGCTTCTCCAAACATTATAATTTCTCCCATTTAAACATACCATCTTGCTCATATTCGCCTCCATTCCGTAACAACCCGGATAGATAACCAAGGCTCTGATACCACTGTTATGTCGAGGAAGAGGCAAACCCGAAAATAAAGAAGATAAAGAACACCAAATTTTAACATGGAAAACCCTTCAAATCGAAGGTAAAAACCACGTGATCACAAAGATCCAAAAAAGATCCACTATAACAATAAGAGGGTTACAAAAGGTCTCCAAATTGGATACACAACAAGTGTCAAACACGGAGCAACAATAGCAACAAGAGCAACAAATAATCAATTGAAGAAAGAGGAGAATCCATAAAAACGAAGCTGTTGTTCGAGACTCGAAATAAGATGCTATGTGCTACCAAATTCGATCTGCACCGTTCAAATCCAAGAGCAAGATGTTATGAACACTCAGTAAAAATCTCAGCCCGATCCAACGGTTAACGGATTAGTAACGTGATTTGAAGTTGGCTGGTCGGAATAAAAATCTGCAGCAAAACAAATACTTTTCTTCTCTCTTCTCTCTTGATGAAAGTTCTCTCAAATCACTCTTATGTGCTTAATAGCCCGTTTGGCCAAGCTGCAAAAATCAGCTTATTTTGAGAAGTGTTTTTTTTAAAAGTGCTTTTCTCAAAAGTACTTTTGGTGAGAAACAGTTTGTGTTTGACTAATTAGTTTGAAAAGCACTTCTGAGCAGCAATTAGTGTTTGATCAAGCTTTAAAAAACTACTTCTAAGTGTATTTTTCTCAAAAGTGCTTCTCAAAAAAGTGCTTTTGGAGAGAAGCTACTTTTTTCTGCTTATCCGAAACTGCTTCTGTTTCTCCTCAAAAATACTTTTTTTCCTTTCAAAAGCTTGGCCAAACACCTCAAGTTTTGGCTAAAAGTGCTTTTGGTAAAAAAAAAAATACTTTTGGCAAAAAAGAAGCTCGGCCAAACAGGCTATAAGTCTTTCAAAGACTTGTATCAATGAACATAGAATAATTCTCCAAAGTTATCCTATTTATAGATCATGAGTGATGCTTTCTCTTAAAGCCAAAACCAACTCTAAATAGAAACAAAAACCGAATCCAATTCCGAATAGGAATAAAAACCAAAAAAGAATAGGATTAGACCATTGGGTCTTTGGCTGGACAACAACCATGTGCCCAACAATTTTGTCCTTCTTGTGATCATTATGACAAAGATATAGAAACAAATAAACAATCCATTTTTCCAAACTAACCAAAGCTTCCCATGATTTATTCACAATATACTATACATCTGCAAGAGTGAGTTTAAGTGATTAATTAATGTAAATTAATATCTCTAATTGAAATCATATCAATTAGTGATTAGAAATAATCAGATTAGTTCCATTTTAATATTTATGCCTAGAAAACAAGATGTGAAAGAAAGTTTCAGCGTAACACTTCCTAATTTAAACTTGCTTTAATAATTTGTTTATGCAATACAACAACAACAACGATAAAAACCTTAGTGTAATTTTACAAGCGAGATCTGGAGAAGCCTACATTGCGAAGGCGGAAAAGTTGTTTCCGACATACCCTCGGCTCAAGCAAAGCACAGTCATAGCAGCGTTAAAAAAAATACGCTAGTGAAAAAGTCATAAAAGAGAATTCAATACCAACAAGAAGATAATATATTTGGTTATGCAATACTCTTTAAACAAAATTGACAAATTGCTCTGTAAGTCCAACTTCTCTAAAATTTGAAAAGTTTTCCATGTGACCAAATGGATGAAAATTTAGCATGAATAAGGAAACATATGAAAAGCTCTAAACTTATTAAATTACAAAAGCAGAAAGACAAATATATAGATGCATTAAAGAGTAGAAATACTACAGTAAGTACAGTACTTATTTTTTGTTTCTAGGAGATAATATTCCATCTTACTCAATAAAATTTTGTTATTTTGCTAAAATGCCAGAAACAAAATGAGAGGATTAGGTAAGAGTATAATATCACTTGGGTTGAGAATTTTTTTTGACGGGAAAAGATAATATATTATAAAACATTACATAGTACGGACAGGTACATCCCTAGTAAAAGGGCAAGCCTCGAGGACATTTACATTTCCCATTTCGACTAAAATAAAACAGGCGTTAATACTGAGTTTTTTGGTCAAATACACATAACCATTTCTATCCATTGCTAGGTTATTTAATACTAGAGGCAATGGATTGACAAAAACTTGGTTTTTCCTTGCATGCTTGAGTCCGTCCTTGGCCATTTTACGAGCCACCTTGTTCCCTTCCCGAAAATTATGGGTGATCTTCGGGTGCTTTAGCTGGTGCATTAACCACCTACAATCAGTGATAATAGACGTGTAAGACATAGCATCTGAGTAAAAAACTTTAATGAGCTCCGCTGCATCTGTTTCCACAATTAGTGGTGAGAAATCATAATTGAGCGCTATTGAAAGACCTAATTTTAATGCTTCTAGTTCTGATTGGAGAGGGGAAGACGATGGCTTGGAGTGTTGGAAACCCAATAGCCAGTCTCCTCTATCATTTCTAAAAACACCTCCCATCCCTCACTTGGGTTGAGAAATTGTGACATAGCCCCGCCGACACAAATTCCAAATCATGATATTTTATGCACTTGTTTTCTCTCTTTTTTTTTTAATAAAAAAATTGTCCTAGAGGCAGATTGGAAAATAGTTTTTTTTTATTACCAAAATCAGAATTCAAATTTCCGATATAACTCATATATTCTTAGAGATTAGTTTGAAATGAATTATTGGTATATGATGATGATAATGATTACAGTTAAAGATAAATATTGCTACTCATTTAACTTTAATTAGCCTCTTCATATCTAGTTGATCAATTATGTGGAATAGGTATATGAACTCTTTAATTACTGTTTACATAAGGCAAATTTTTATTATTCAGATAATTTATCTGAATAATTGATGGGGCACGGCGGAATTTGGACAAAATGAATGAAACGGGAAAAATCCAATTTTATGGTACCGTGGAGTAGGGCGGCTTATCGGGTGGTTATTTATTCTTAAATATTTGACTTATCGGTTATCGGTTTTTAAATGTATTAATCTGCTAGCCACCCGATAAAATATCGGGCGAATTTGGTATCGACTTAGCTCTTATCGGGCGGTTATCGAGCGGTTTATCAGCCTAATTTTTTACTCATCTTTGCCTCGTGCTTACGCAGTACATTTCATGCTTCTTGCAATTAATATTTCATCACAGAAAAAAGAATGCTAATAGTACTCAGCAGTTATTAATATTCATGTTTCCAGTCAAAATCTGAGATGAGTAAGAAAATTGATAGAATATTTTAAGTGTCAGTTATCCCGAAGAAAAATATTTGTTCTTGGCAAATTAATAAACATATGGAGTATTAGGTAGACTAAGGCCAGCTGCTAGCACGCCTCTTGCAGGATTTTTAGGGAATATAGTGTATGTAACACATTTTGCATAAGTCTGACAATTGTTGTGGTGCTAGATCTACATAGTTAATTTAATATCTTAAACCCAAAATCAATACTTTAAGATATTTCCAACTTAGACTTCTTTATCTCATGAAATATCCAACAACCAACTCCACAATTATTGAAGCTTTAACAGGCTAATTTATGTGTTAAAAATATCATCACATGACAACTACATCGAACTAGAAATCAAACAGGGCTCTCTTAAGTTCTATATATCATTTGGTTATACAAGCCTTTTCATTTTTTGGTATTCACAGTTAAAGCCTAAATTTTTCAAACCATGAGAAATGTTTAAACAGTCTGTTTAGATTTCTATCGTTTGCCAAAAACGGTCTGTGTATATATATATTCTTAACGGGTTAACGGATTATATGTTAAGAAAATTGAATAATTCGCCCCTAAACCGATAACCGTTAATGAAAAAAATTTCAATCCGTTCCTTGTCCGTAAAACCGTTAACCCGATACCAATAAGCCATTATGTAACACTCCTCAAATTATAAAAGTTTCGAAACACGCTAACAATAGAACTAAATATATATATAATTGGATATACAATTAGGAAAATATTAATAGTTTTAATATTATTAATTATTGAAAGTGGATACCATTAAATATTTGTTAAGTCCAAAAAAAAAAAAGATTGAATAAAAAAAAACAAAGTGACGTAAGAATTGGGCTTAAAGCCCATTGAGTGGATCTTCCTATTGTAGGAAAAATAAGAAGGCTTAAAGCCTTAAGCCTTGGGAAAGAGGGGTTACATGGAACTAGAGCAAAGGACTTCTGTGCACAGAACAAAAACAGAACACGTCCTAGCAGGTACTCACGCGGGCAAATAAAATTTTTTAAGGTTCTTACCAATCACTAATTCTTGAACTCAGGTACATAGAATTTTCTATTCTCAATTATCCTAAAGTAGTAGTAGGTAAGAATAGAATAGTTAAATTCCTTCTCCCTCTATATCAACAACAAATTTCACGTTTAGGTGTGAAACTTTAAAACTGATTAAAATGCATTGGTTGTTGTAGAATCGATTGTTTGACTGGTGTCAATTGGACTGGGGTCTACGTATTGACTCGAGAAGTTTTGAGGTGAGTTGATATAACCATCTACTAAAGTGGCTTAACTCACAAAACCACGCACACAAGGTGTTTGATGAATTGCATAAAAGAGTTAATATCTACTTAATGGGAGTAGTAAGTACATATTAGCTTAGAATTATTTTCTAGCTAAAGTTTAGATGATTATTTGGATATATGTGCATAAATTTCAGATTTTTATGTTATTCTTATATGCCATTTTCATGTTGAAAATTCATGAAGGATCAAGAACCTTTATAAATACTTTTGAATGTTTATTTCATTCTTTTGTCATGCCTTACATTTAAGGATATCAGTATGAGTATGTATAAAAGATTTAGACTTGAAAAGTCACAAGAAGAAGTTTTAGAAAGAAAAGATTTTTGGGGAGTATCCTTTATTCTGAGAAGGGGTCATCGTCCAGGCCTAGGGTCCTGACCAAGCGTTGACTTCCTAAAACTACTTGTGCCAAAGTAGGGAGCACACGAGCCGAGGGTCTCGTTGCTGAGAACTTACTTAGCCATGCTAAGGTATGAGACATGAGCGCTGAGAACCATCAAGCGAGTGGCACCTCGTGGATTGGGCCTATTCGATCAGGTTGGTATCGAACCCGTGCTGATCACACGTGACTGAGACAGAATTAAGTCAGGATAGTTGGAACTCCCAAAGTATAAAGTAAAGTATTTTTTTATAAGAATGAAAAAGAAAAGAATTTCTTTTAAAATATTCATAAACTGCTATTATGCAATTATTTAGAATTATTCTTATAAGCTTTATGTTTTACATGCATTTAGAACATTTGCTCATAATGTATATGTTATTAAAATTTTGCCCCCGTTTTTGAGACTTACTGAGTACAATGGATAGTACTGACGTTCTCTTTTAGGAACATACGTTGGTCTGCGGTACAACGTAGGAACCGGATTTGCAGGCGAGCAAACTACGAGTTATGACTTCCTTCTCTTCTAGTGCTATTGGTGAGCTCTGCTTCTGTTCGTGGAGTATTCCTTAGAGTCATTTTTATTTAGTTATTTCTTTGTTACTTAGAGAACTGGCCAGGAAATCTCATGTCCGAGCAGTGCGTCAGTTATCAGTAGAGGCTTCATAGACATAGTCGTTGAGTTAAGATTCAGATATTTTTGATAATAACTTAGCAGCATTTTATTGGTTACTATGAATAAAGTTTTGAAGTGGGCTTATTTTAGATATTTAAATTATTTAAAAGTGTTTGGTTACAGTTGTGCCTTGTGGCATATAAAGTTTGAGGTTTGAGGTTATAATACATTTGATAAGCAGAGGTGGTCCGCTCGGTCATGTTTAGTGATCGAGTGCCGGTTCCGGCTTGTTCAGAAAATGGGTCGTGACAAATTTGGTATCAGAGCCTCAGGTTTATGGAGTCCTAGGGGTCTATGAAGCCGTGTTAGTAGAGTCTTGTTTATGTGTGTGAAGCGCGCCATACTTATAAACAAGAGGCTACAAGCATTTAGGAAAAGTCACTTTTTTTTCATACTTTAGATTGTGCAGTAGAGCCTACCTCTAAAGAATTATCTAATTTATTCGTTTCTCCAAAACTCGCAGAAATGACTCGTGCTCGCAACTCTGACAACGACACTCAGGATGCTGCTCAAGAAACTATCGCTACTATTGTGGCTCAAGGTAGAACTAAGAGGGCTTCGACTTTGAAAAGGAGGGGAAAATCCACAAAGGGAGTCCAAGTACCCCGGGTTGAACGAGAAGAAGGGGTGGAGCATGATGATCCAGTACCTCGGGATCCAGTACCACCCCCAACAGCAGCCCCGGCTCAGGCAACTATATCTCCCGATGTGGGTCAGATTTTTAATGTTGTCAACAGTGCTATGGAGATGTTTAAAGCCTTTATGGCCAACCAGAACGAGAGAAGAGATGAGATTCCACCTCAATCAAATAGACAAAACAATTCGGAGTCCTCAAGAGTGAATGAATTTTTAAAGTTGAGTCCTCCAGTGTTCCATGGTTCTATAGTTGATGAAGATCCAATGTTGTGGCTGGAGGGTGTCAAGAAAGCCCTCCGAGTGATGAAAGTATTTGATGATGAAGCTGTGGAGCTAGCTGCTTACCAACTTAGAGATGTGGCCGACGCTTGGTTTGAGATGTGGGAAAAGAAAAGAGATGAAGATGATGGTCCGCCTACTTGGGAAGAATTTGAAGAGGCCTTCATGGCTAACTTTATCCCAGAAGAGGATAGGGAAGCTAAGGCTATAGAGTTCGAACAGCTCAAGCAAGGGAATAAAGGTGTGCAAGAGTACTACATGGAATTCATAAGGTTAGCTAAGCATGCTCCTCACATGGTTAAGACTGAAAAAGCAAAAATTCGCAGGTTTTGTTGGCGGTTTAGCTTACCACATTAAGGATACGACATCAGCTACAACAGTAGGGATAGAAGCCTCCTCATATGTTGTGGGATTTGCCAAGCACTTAGAGAAAGACAGACAACTAAGGAGAGAAGAAAAAGAGCATAACAAGAAAGCTCGGACAACGGGCAGGTTTAATGGTACATCCAGCGGAGGTGGAAGGGATTCCTCTAATAAGGAGTCATTAGCACCAGCTCAGTTCAGTCATCAGTCAGATGGTGGGTTTTTCTTCAGACGTACTCAGAGTTATGGAAATCAGTCTCGCTAGAATCAGAATTTTAGGACATCATCCTCACATAGACCAGAGTCATGCTGAGCAACATTCACACCAGCAAAGTCTTTGTGGAATATGTAAGCGGCAATATTCAGGTCAGTGCAAGCTCGGGTTTCATGATTGCTACCATTTTGGAGACATTGGTCATATAAAGGCCAACTGCCCAAAGTTGCAATGTAATTTCAGTGGTGGATCAACTCGTCCTTCTAGTTCCTCAGCTACTGCAGTTGCACCCCCCAGGCTCGTGGTTCTCATAATCAGACCGGGCATGGAGCAGGTAGAGGTGCAGACCGAGTTACTCGGGGAGGGGGACAACCCCGTTTGTTTGCTACACTTGATCGCCAGAGTGCAAAAGCATTCACAGAAGTTATTACTGGTATACTTTTAGTCTGCTCACATAATGCTTATGTCATAATGGATCCAGGTTCAACGTTTTCATATGTGACTCCATACTTTGCAATTAACCTCGGACTAGAACCTGAACAACTTAGTGAGCCATTCCTAGTATCTACTCAAGTTGGCGAGTCAGTGAAGTCACCAGAGTCTATAGAGGTTGTATAGTTTCAGTCCAAGGTCGCAACACCAAAGCCAATCTCATAGAGTTAGAAATGGTGGATTTTGATGTGATCATGGGTATGGATTGGTTGTCTTCCTGCTATGCCATGTTAGATTGTCATGCCAAGATAGTCAGGTTCCAATTTCCAAATGAAGAAGTCTTAGAGTGGAAGGGTAGTTCAGCATCGCTTGTAGGTAAGTTTATTTCTTATCTTAAGGCACAACGAATGATCGATAAGGGGTGTCTCACCTATTTGGCTCACATTATTAATCTAGAATCAAAACCACCAGCTCTTCAGTCAGTGCCAATTGTTCGAGAATTTCCAGAAGTTTTCCCAGATGACTTTCCCGGACTTCCTCCCGAAAGAATCATAGACTTCGGCACTGATCTCATGCCAGGCACTCAGCCCATATCCATACCTCCTTATAGGATGGCTCCAGCAGAACTTAATGAGTTGAGAAAAAAATTGAAAGACCTTCTTAATAAAGGCTTCATCAGGCCGAGTGTTTCACCGTGGGGTGCCCGGTCCTGTTTGTCAAGAAGAAAGACGGGTCTCTCAGAATTTGTGTCGACTATCGGCAGTTGAATAAAGTTGCCATTAAGAACAAGTACCCACTGCCAAGAATTGATGATTTATTTGATAAACTTCAGGGTGCAAAGTACTTTTCAAAAATAGACTTGAGGTTGGGTTACCATCAGTTGAGAATCAGAGAAGAAGATATATCTAAAACAGCCTTTAGGACTCGCTACGGGCACTATGAATTTCTAGTAATATCCTTCGGGTTGACAAATGCTCCAGCTGCATTTATGGACCTCATGAATAGAGTTTTCAAGTCATTCCTAGATACCTTTATTATCGTGTTTATAGACGATATTTTAGTATACTCTAAGAGCAAGGAAGAACATGCAGAACACATTAGAATAGCCTTGCAGACCTTGAAGGAGAATAAGCTTTATGCCAAGTTTTCAAAATGTGATTTCTGGTTGCAGTCAGTAGCATTCTTAGGCCATGTGGTATCTAGTGAAGGAATAAAAGTAGACCCACAGATGACAAAAACAGTCAAGAACTGGCCTAGGCCCACAACGCCAACCGAAATTAGGAGTTTCTTGGGGTTAGCTGGCTACTATATAAGGTTTGTAGAGGGGTTTTCCTCACTTGCAACTCCATTAACTAAGTTGACTCAGAAAGCAGTTAAGTTCCAATGGTCAGACGCTTGTGAGCAGAGTTTTCAAGAGTTAAAGAAGAGGTTGACCACTGCACCTGTGCTAACCTTGCCGACAGGTTCGGGTGGTTCACAGTGTATTGTGATGCCTCCAGAGTGGGCCTTGGTTGTGTTCTTATGCAAAATGGAAAAGTTATTGCTTATGCTTCCAGGTAGTTAAAGAATCATGAAAAGAACTACCCCACACACGACTTGGAGCTTGCAGCAGTGGTGTTTGCATTAAAAATATGGCAACACTACCTTTATGGCGAGCATTCTGAAGTGTTTACAGATCACAAAAGCCTCCAGTACATTTTCAAGCAAAAAGAACTAAATTTGAGACAGAGAAGGTGGCTCGAGCTATTGAAAGATTATGACATCAATATCCTTTATCACCCGGGCAAAGCTAATGTGGTAGCAGATGCACTTAGTAGGAAATCAATGGGTGTCTTGGCCCATCTTGCAGTACAAATGCGATCTTTGGGTCGAGAAATTCAAAAACTAGCAAATGATGGAATTAGATTGGATGAGACCGAAGAAGGAGATATAACTGCTTATGCCTTAGCGCAATCCTCCCTTGTTGTGCATGTTAAGGCTAAGCAAGACGAAGATCCGTACTTAGTGAAATTAAAAGAAGGAGTCAGAAGCAAAGAAATCATTGCTTTCGCTCTAGTAAATGACGAAGTTTTGAAGTTGAATGATCGGTTATGTGTGCCTGATGTAGATGGTCTTAGGAAGGCCATAATGGAGGAAGCTCACAGTTCGAGGTACTCTATCCACCCAGGTGCTACCAAAATGTATCTAGATTTGAAAGAGTTGTATTGGTGGAAAGTCATGAAGAACAAGTAGCAAATCATGTGGCTAAATGTTTAAATTGCCAGCAAGTCAAAGCCGAGCATCAGAGGCCTGGTGGCCTAGCTCAAGATATAGAGATACCATAGTGGAAGTGGGAGATAATTAATATGGATTTCGTAGTAGGTCTACCTCGCACATACCGTAAACATAATTCAATTTGGGTTATTGTAGACCGACTGACAAAGTCCGCGCATTTCCTACCAGAAAAGAAGACAGATTCCGCAGAGTAGTATGCGCAGTTGTACATCAAAGAAATAGTCCGATTTCATGGTACTCCAGTTTCAATCATATCTGACAGAGGCCCTCAGTTCATAGTGCATTTTTGGCAGGCATTTTAGAAAAGATTAGGTACCAAGGTCAATTTAAGCACCGTTTTTCATCCACAGACCGGTGGCCAGGCAGAAAGGACCATTCAGACTCTCGAAGATATGTTGCGTGCGTGTGTTATAGATTTTGGAGGTAATTAGGATGATCACTTGCCACTTATTGAATTTGCTTACAATAACAACTATCAGGCCAGCATTAGTATGGCTCCTTATGAAGGTTGTATAGGCGGAGATGTAGGTCTCCAGTGGGTTGGTTTGAACCAGCAGAGGTGCCATTGATTGGTCCAGAGTATGTTTGTGAGGCCTTGGAGAAAGTTCAACTAATTAGAGAAAGA